TCATTTATCAATGGTAATATTTTTTCAACAATTTATGTTCTTGATGTGTTACCAGAAGTAAAAGGGGTTGAACTCATGGCTTTGCTCTAGTTAGGCAATTTCTCTACCAGAAAGGTCATAATCCAACCCTTTTTATAATCTTTTTTTTTCCCAGAGACATGTACTCACACTTTTGCCAAAGGATTTCAATTAACAAAAAGTAGAGTGTAAGCATATTTATTTATTTATTTATGGGTTTTCTGCTCTGTTCCGTTCAGCTCTCACTTTTCTTAATGTCTCTTTTAAATTCCAAAACCATTCAGTTTGGGTTGCTATATCTTTGTGTCTTTTTTATTTTTTTTTTTGAGTGTCCTGGTTTTGAACTCAGGGTCCAACTGCCATACCCAAAATTTTTCACTCAAGACTAGCTTAAGCCACAGGTTCACTTCCAGCTTTTTAGTGATAAGATAGACAAATGTGTCATAAATTTTCCTGCCTGGGCTGGCTTTGAACCTTAACCTTCCTGAGTAGCTAGTATTACAAGTGTGAACCACCAGAATGCAACTTCTATTATCCTTTTTTACTTTTTGTGTTTTGATCTTTTCTTTTTTAGCAATGGAGATAAAACTAACGACAGTGGGCTTGCTATACAACAGCCCTGTACTTTCTTTTGAAGTCAGATATCATACTTATTATTGTTGTTTTCTGGGGTGCATTGACAGTAGGGTCTTCTGTAGCTCCATGTAAATTCTATGATAAAAAAAAAACACCAATGAAGAATATCATTGGTTTTCTCAGAGTAATTGCACTGAATCTGTAGGTTGCTTTGAGTACCATTGACATTTTACAATAGTATTAATACATGCAACCAATAAATATCTAGTATATTTGCCTTTACTTGTATTTTTTTCTTAGGTATTTTTCATTTCTTACTTTAGTTTGTCAGTAGAAGGGCTTGAACTCATTGCTTCAAGCATTCAGCTTTCTTTCCTTTGGTTGGCATTCAAAGATTTGAAACATCCCTCCAGCCTGCCCTTTTGCTGGTTAATTGGGAGATAGAATTCCATAAACTTTTCTATCTGAGCTGTTTCAAATCTCATCCTCCAGGTATCAGCATAAGCCAGCAGTGTATGGTTTCTAATTATTTCTTAAGATCTACTATAGAGAAATGGTGCAGAGGAAAGCTACTAGGGTTTTTGCATGAAGTTTTTCTTTTTTTCTTCTTAGGAGTATTAGGATTTGCAATTAGTTGTTTTTAATCTAGTGATAGATTCTACTGATTCTACCATTAGAGCCACTTTTCCAGTTTTTCATTCCCCCTTCCCTTTCCTTCCATCTTCATCTTCTTTTTGTGTGTGTGCTCATCCTGGGGCTTAACCTAGGACCTGGGCAAAGTCCTTGAGCTTTTGTTTTCAAGGATAACACTGTACCACAAAAGCCACAGGTCTATTTCCAACTTTTGGTGTTCATTAGATTTAAGAATCTCACAAGACTTTTCTGCCCATGGCTTTGAAACTCTTCCGATCTCAGCCTTTTGAATAGATAGAATTACAGGTTTGAGCCACTGACTCCTGGCTTCCAGCCCATTTTCCTTTTTTTTTACATTATTTATTATATTTTGTCCTGAATTGGCCTCAGATCTTGATCCTCCTATAATTGTCAAATATCTATAATTCTCTGTCAAACACTGTAATCCTCACAGTGTTTTTTGTTGTTTTGTTTTGTTTTGTTTTGGTGTGGTTGTAGGGCCTGAACTCTGGACCTAGGTGCTGTCCCTCAGCTCTTCAGCTCAAGGCTAGCGCTCTACCACTTGAGCTACAGTGCCACTCCGACTTCTTTCTTTTTGCTTATGTGGTGCTGAGGAATTGAACCACGGCCTCAGGCATTCAAAGCAAGTGCTCTACCACTGAGCCATCTTCCCAGCCCTCTCACAATGTTTTATAGTGATTATCTGAAATAAATTTTTCTTGTCTAAATGACTGGAATTACAGATGTGAGGAATGGTGTCTGGCTGAGTAATGAAAAACAAAAATGAAACTATTTAAAAACTATACACAGGATACACATACAAAAAATGTCCCACTTAACAAAAATGTTTTTCATGCCTGTAATCCTACCTACTCAGGAAGCTGAGTTCTGAGGATCAGTGCAGGCAGAAAAGTCTATGAGACTCTTATCTCTAATTAACCACCAGAAAACTGGAAGTGGAGCTTTAGCTCAAGCTCTAAGTGGTAAAGGGTTCACCTTGAGTGAAAAGAACAGCCAGTGCCCATGCCCTAAGTTCAAGCACCATGACTGACAAAAAATAGAAAAAGAACATGCTGAAACTGGCTGCCAGTGGTTCTTAACCTGTAACCCTACCTATACAGGAGGCTGAGATCTGAAGATCATGGTTCAGAGCCATCCTGGGCAAGAAAATCCCCTAAGATTTTTCTCCCCACTTAATCAACAAAAAGCCTGAACTGGAACTGTGGCTAAAAGTGCTAGAGCCCTAGCCTTAAGCATGAAAGATCTAGGACAGTATCTAGGCCTCGATTTCAAGGTAAAAAACAACCAGACATACAATCACATTCATAATAACCTCTATTCTATTAAGAATGCCTAAATTTTTTCTTTCATGTGATTGTTTCTAACACATTTATAAGATTATTTCTTTGTTCCTTTGTATGTCCCTCCCCCACAGTATAACCCGTGCTTTCACTGTATTTGATGTCGGTATAATTTGTGGAGGGGAAGGGGAAAAACAAATCGTTAAAATAGGGATACAGGTGGACCTATTGCAACAATGAGATATACAAGTCGTTATGTTGAAAACGAACTTTACAACTTTGGTTGGGGGGGGGCATGATTAAGGGGAGGGAGGATGGGAAGGGGAAACAAGGGAAGAGGCTACAATGCTTGATAAGAAATGTACTCATTATCTTGCCCATGTAATTGTAACCCCTCTGTAGTATTTTCACAAAAAAAAAAAAAAAAAAAAAAAGAATGCCTAAATGTAAACCAAGACTTTTAGGATGTAAGCTATAAATGAAAAGACTCTATCAAGGAGAGAAAACTTTTTTTATCCCAATGTAAATTTGGATATTTCTAACACAATCCAATTGTATCTATACAGACAGATGTCAAAAGACAAGAAAAATATATACAGAAGATTTACATGTGTGAAGAGTTACTAAAATAGTTAAGAGTACCATTCAGGGAGTAAAACTATGTAAATTCTATCATACAATGAAGAGATATTGGGTAAACTACAACTGTATTTCTAAATAAAAGATTAACAATCTGAAAAATCTCTCATATATGATTATAGCCAGAAGACATTTTAGAAAGGCAATATTGGGGATGGGAAGGTGGCTCAGTGGTAGAGCTCTTGCCTTTCATGAATGAGACCCTGGGTTCGATTCCTCAGCACCACATAAGCAGAAAAAGCCAGAAGTGGTGCTGTGGCTCAAGTGGTAGAACACTAGCCTTGAGCTGAAGAGTTGAGGGACAGTGCCTAGGCCCAGAGTTCAGGCTCCATGACTGACAAAAAGAAAAAGAAAAGGCAATATTATAGAAACAAACAAAAAAATCAGTAGATGACAGAGGTTCAGGTGGAGCTGAGAGGAAATTTGATTTGACACTGTCATGCTTTAGTTAATAATCAGTGTCATCTCACCATTATAAGAAATGTACTACACAAATGCAAGGTGTTAATAAGGGAATGAAATGTCTATATTTCCCCTTAATTATAAACATTGAACAGCTCTGAAAAGTACAGTCCATCAATTACTAACCATTTTAAAAGAAAGTCCTATGTCTTCCAGTAAGTGACATCTTTCATTGAAGTCTCACATTTTGTCTTTCCCTTTATACAACCTATCACCTATTCACATTTTAACAGACAAATCTATTTTCTGAATTGTTAAATTTTGACTCTTCTGAAGTACTTGGGTGTCCACAGTTCCTGTCATATTTTATTGTAATTCTTGATTCTGTTTTAACTTCCCCCTACACACATTGGACCTATTAAAGATGAAAGGTCACCTAAAAAACCATGATAGCTTAGTCTGGCCTAACTTAAATTACCAGTTGGTCAAGATATCTAAAGCTTATTTTATCACAAAGAAGATATCACAAAGCTTATTTTATAATAAAAAGTTGAGCTCTGTAATTTATTGAACACAGTACTCAAAATAAAAAGAACGGCTGCACGGGACTGGAGAAACAATTTGGCATTTGTAGACATGATGAGATGCAAAACCAGAGAATAGGATAGTTAAAAAATGGTAACAACATAAAACATGCTAGTATAGGATGTTTAATACTAATACATTATGGCTATGTCAGACTGCAAACAACTGCTACTGTCATATATTTCAAGAGAGTTTATATTTTAACTAGCCCACATAAACACCACAAAAAAAAAATCAGTATCTAAATTCAAACCTCAAGCTTCAAGTAGAAACTAATCAACTAGTAAACTAAACTAGCAGACACTAATCCATATTGCTTTTAAAAGTCATTGAGTCGGTGGCAGGGAGGGATATGGGAAGGGATACGGAAAGGGAAACAAAGGAGGAGGCAACATGCTTGATAAGAAATGCACTCGTTATCTTGCCCATAATTGTAACCCCTCTGTAAGGTATTTTCACAATAAAATTAATTAACTAATTAATTAATTTTTTAAAAAGTCACTGAGTCAAATTTCTAAGAGAAATGTTCTATTTTGATGCCTAAACGTAATTCCAGGTATTATAAGTCTCCTAAGTTTTTTTCATCTTTTCCCTTTATTTCTATACTATGTAATAAAATGTACAAACTTCCAGTTGGTAAATAAACAAAAACATAGAAACAGAATGAATTATAAAATAGCAATGATTATGTAACATGTATGGTTTTCCTATCATTATGAATTAAAGATAGTGCTTATATATAAAACCATTCCTTAAATTATTATCTCTTCTTCTCAAAATGTATATCAGGTAAATAAAGGTAAAGCATTGTGTAAGGGCCAATAAAATAGCTAGTCTTTCTTTTACCTGAGCAGAATTAGAAAGTTGTTTTCTCGATGGCTCTCTTGTACTGCTGGTCTGGTTTTTGCAGTTATGAGGTAGATTAAGTATGTTTTGCTGCAAGTAAGGCACATATCCATTACTTCTACTTCTGTTTATATAAATATTGCCCACCAAATAGTGTTTGTAATTCTTACAATTTGTGATGTGGTGAAAGGAATGCAGCCTACAGAAAAATTTACATTAGACAAAAGGCTTTTCCATACAAAAAAAGAGAAGTAAAACTAAGTTGATAGATGCTAGGTATCCTGGTCAGAGAAACATGTGGTTTCTAGCTACAGATTTGTAGTCAGTCGAGTCAGATATTGGCCCATTAAAAGTTCCAGTAGTTTGTACTTGAGCAACTCTTGTCTGTCTCAATTTTAAAAGCAAAAAGAAATCTACTTGTGTGATTTTGAAACTGTTTAATTAAAACATCACTAATTTTATTATAACATCTAATTTCTCTAGCTAAAAACTACAAAAAACATTTTCAGTTTTAAATGTAGTGCCTGAATAAAAAAGGATGTTTTCCTTAATGCTCAACAAAAGCAGCTGATATGGATTATGAATCTGAAATTTATAGTTTTTTTTCTATCATGAAATAGTAAATTGACATATGCTTACGCCAAACAACCATTCAAATTGAGAAAGTGGTTAATGTTAAGACACAAAAAAGAGAGAACAAAAAGGAATACAAAAGAAAAATACTATGTAAATGTATAATAAAATACTAATACTTGTCCTAAAGAAAGTTATGATTATTTTTCCTTAAAAAAATCTTTTACTCATCAATATTTAAGGTTCAAATATGTAAATTCTACAGAACATACAAACACTGTAAGCATTACATACTCTACAATGATACATGAAAAAAAAGTCCATAGGTGAATAGATTTTAGAAAGAAAAACATTTTATGCATACTTGTTGCTGCATTAAGGCAAACTGACTTTCCAGCTGGTCCAGCATCAGTCTCTGTGTTGGATTTAAATTATCTTTATTTGCACGCAGATGTTCCAACTGCTAGAAGAAGGAAAATTTAATCTAAAAATGAAGATCCCATAGGCACTTCTCAGAGAAATGTCTATAAACTCATAAACACTATATGACATAAGATAGTAATTCCTCTACCAGATGTCAGTGTCTCAACCTGTAATCCTAGCTACTCAGTAGGTTTGAGATCTGAGGACTGTGGTTTGAAGCCAGCCTACTCAAGAAAGCCCACAAGGTATCTCCAATTAACCACTAGAAAACTGGAAGTGGAACTCTGGCTCCAAGTGGTAGAGCACTAGCCTTGAGCAAAAGAAGTCAGGGACAGTGCCTAGGCCCTAAGTCCATAGCTAACAAAAAAATAAAAATAAATAAATAAAATAAAATACTGATATCTACCTAATAGTTAATACTTAATGAAGTCTAAGTTAGGTAGTAAAAACAAGGCAATCATCCTGAAAAAAAATTATTTTGTTTTTAGGAAAATGTTTTAAGAGAAATCAAATTTCAAAGAGAAAATTCCTTAAATGATGTATGATTTTAAAACACGTGGAAAACCATGCTTTGTAATAAAAGCATTTGAAAAGACTTAAATGAACTATAGTGAGACATTACTGAAATGAAAATGTACCCTTAGAACTATAAATGGAACACTATATGGTGACAAAAGAAGTAATTATTGACAGGAAAAAATCCTTAACATATATTTTATTTATGTCAATCATCAGTCTTGAACTAAGGGCTGGTTGCTGTCCCAAACGTTTTTTTATTCAAGGCTATTGTTCTACTACTTTAAGTGGCAGCTCTACATCCAGTTTTTAAGTGGTTATTTGGAGATGAGAGTCTCAGACTTCGCTGCCTGACCTGGCTTCAAATTGTAATTCTCAGATCTTAAGCCTTCTGAGTGGCTAGGATTGCAGGTGTGAGCCACCAGTGTCCAGTTCCAAATACATTTTTAAGAAACATTTTTTTTTTTTGCCAGTTGTGGGGCCTGAACTCAGGAGCCTGGGTGCTGTCCCTCAGCTCTTCAGCTCAAGGCTAGCACCATATCACTTGAACCACAGCACCACTTTTGGCTTTTTCTGCTTATGTGATGCTGAGGAATCAAACCCAGAGCCTGGTGCACTCTACCACTGAGCCACCTTCCCAGCCCTGAGGCAAGATCTTAAATATAGATGTGTAGATAGATTTTTGCTTACATTTCTATTTTCATAAAAAATAATCTGTAAAATTTGTATTTCTTAAATATATTTAAAATTTTTATCTTTTTTCCTTTTGGGCCAGTAGTGGGGCTTGAACTCGGGGCATGAGCAGTACTCCTAATCTTGAGTCTTTTATTCTACCATCCATTTAATATTTCTCTCCATAACTACTCAAATAGAGTACAACTCTATAACAGGGGTAGGTTCATTTTATCTACATAAGTATTAAATTTAATAGCCCTAACTTTTGCTTAGAAATCATTTTACAACAATGTTTCATACCTGTAATTTTTGTGGTGTCCAACACTGTGTATGAATTTGTTGCTCTACTGGATTATATGAAACAGTTTGTCCACTATTCCAGTAATCAGAACCATTCTAAGAAAAATTCAGTTTAAAATTAGGATTATGTATAAAACCTAACTCTTATGTTTAGTGTTTAGTATAATGCTAAAAGATTAGTATCTGAAATATTTGCATACTTAAAGTACTTATTATACTGAATTTTCTTGAACTTAGTCCAAAATGTGCAATAAATTTGCAAACCTATAAATTTACGGGAAAAAGCCACTATTTAAGACATGTATCAAAGAACTAGAAGGACTGTCCAATATATCCAATAATCAATTTATTTCCTTGTTACCAGAATGTTTAAAAATAGGTTAAAATTGTGAAATGAATAAAATGATTGATAAACACAACTTTTCCCTACTGTCTATACATAAAATCATGCAACTACTACATGAAACAAATACTACTTCATTTTCTATTTATGCTTTATGAAGGGCTAGAACTTCATTTTTATTGGAATTTTTCCTAACATATGTTTATGTATACATGAAGTAGGCAAGCCTTCCACTTAATTAGAGGTAATCAAGTGACAAGCATTGCTGTAAAATTGGCGATTAACTGAGTTATAACAGGAGTTTCATAAACCTTACAAGTAAAAAAAAATTATGGTTCTATACATTTTTAATTCATATTTTCAAATTTCAAAATGCTATAGCCATGAACTTTCAAAAGTTCAGTGAAAATAAGAAGTAAATTATCAGTGCAGAAATGTGTACCTTTTTAAAGAAAAAATTGTTTCAAATTCACTAAGTGTTTGATGAGGAATATTTCCAATAAATAAGATATATTAAAATTTTTAATTGGTATTCAAGTTTCTTCCTGTAAAAGAAGGAATTCATTTTGATTTAATATGCCTCTGCAACTAATTTTGAAATATTTATTTTTTTAAATAAAAAGATTTTACATTTTAAAGAAGCTAATTCTACATCTGGTTAAACAATACAGTTTGAGCTACTATCAATAAAAAGTCCTTAAAGCTGGGTACTACAGAAGATAACCCAACTTCTCACCTGCTGTGCTGTGTTCATGGCACCCTGCCTGGAGGTAAGCTCTGCGGGAATTGGTAGGCTCCATGCCTCCTCAATACTAGGAAGTAATTTAGTTTTATTCTGTAGACTACTTTGTGGAAGGTTACAGAACTGAGCCTAGGAAAAATTATGTAAAAAGCAAATTTAACACAAGCCTATTTAGTAAGAGCATGTCACTAAATCTTCTGTAATGTTATAAATATTTAATTTTAGTAGGAATGATTTTAAATCTGGAAGTTCAGAAAGATGCCAAATATAAAGCTATGATCCGTTTTTCAGACTTCTCTTATATATATTTCTTATGAAACTTCAAGTAAGAGAAAAAAAGTAGTGTTGTGTTCTTTTCTTGGAATACTATGACAACTTGAAGTATATAGCACACATAAAAGGATGTTAACGCATGTAATGTAGAGCATATAAATTAATATGTATAAACAAAATACATGTGTAAAAAACATATTTCAAATACCACATCTCACTTAAAATGAAAAGTAAAATAATATGAAAATATTAAGAATATGGAAACAAGCTAACACCAAAAAATGCATAAAGTTTCCACTTTTCCTGCTACATGTTCTAAAGGGAAATCTGTATCTTTTAAAATACATTATTTAAAATACTTACCTGTAAAAACTTAATTCTTGCTGCAAGTGTAGAAGTATTACTACAACTTTTGCTTCTAGTTGCATTTAAGTAACATTTAATGGCATCTCCTGGTTGGCTGCAAGACTCATAAAGAGTGCCCAAGTCCATCCAGGCTACTGCGTGCCCATGGTCCAACTGTACAGCACAAATATAAGCCTGTAAGGCATCCATAGGCTGATTCTGCTGTTGATAGAGGACTCTAGAAAAATAATGAGAAAATTTTCAAAAATTGTTTAGATTGATAAAAACTGCAAAGTATGCTTTCCAATGATCCAGTGCATCAATTAAATTATTACTTTGTGCACTGGTAGCTCATACCTCTAATCCTAACTACTCAGGAGGCTGAGATCTGAAGATAAAATTCAAACTCAGTCAGGACAGAAAAGTCTATGAGACTCTTATCTTCAATTTGCCACCAAAAGGCCAAAAGTAGAGTTGTGGCCCAAGTGTAGAGCACTAGCCTTGAATGGAAAAGCTCAGGGATATGCCTAGGTTTTGAGGTCAAGGCCCACATTGGTACATTAGAGAGAACAATAATAAGCTATTACTTCTATGAGTATAACCTTACCCTATTGAACACCAGGTATCTGCACTTGCTTCTGATTTATCAATGGATTGCCTGTAAGATATAAAGGCATCTTGAACTTTCCCAATACTTGAGTAACACCTACAAAGGAAAAACATACATATGAATAAGTAAAATTATAATTGCCAATACAATATTGGGAAAGGGACAGAGGTAAACAACTTACTGTGTATACTGTATATGTATAGTACATTAGCTATATGCAGGTTTATATGTAACTAATATACTGTAACATTAGCAGTTAAATGATTTATCTTATAAATGCCAGCACATTAATGAACTCTAATGAATTTTGACAGCAAAAATCTTTTTAATGCTATAATTTTACAAGCTAAATTTACAAATTTGAACCCATGTTTCCTGAATCACAGAAAAGATGATTTTTAAAAAAGAGGTCTGGTGGTTTATGTTTATAAGGAAGCTATGATCTGGGAACAGAGGCCAGAGGTTAGCCAAGCTGAAAATTCTGTGAAGCAGATTTTTTCTTAAAGTTAAAAGGAATTCCAATCTGCCAGTGGCTCACCTATACTCCTAGCTACTGAGGAGGCTGAGATGTGAGGATCACAGGTTGAAAGCAGTTCAAGAAGTCCTTGAGCTTATTTTCTCCAATTAAACACAAGTAAGGGCAGAAGTTGTGCTCTGGCTTAAGTGGTAAGGACTAGCCTTGAGCTATAAGGAGATCAGGGACAGTTCTGAAGTCCTGAATTCAACCCCCAGATCTGGCCAAATCACACACACACACACACACACACACACACACACACACACACGGGGCTGGGAAGGTGGCTCAGTGATAGAGCACTTGCCTTGCATGCATGAGGCCCTGGGTTCGATTCCTCAGCACCACATAAGCAAAAAGATAAAAGCCGGAAGTAGCGCTGTGGCTCAAGTGGTAGAGCGCTAGCCTTGAGCTGAAGAGCTGAGGGACAGCGCCCAGGCACAGAGTTCAGGCCCCACAACCAGAACCCAAACACACACACACACACACACACACACACACACACACACACACACACACATTTGAATTAGGATTCTCAGATCTTCCTTCATTTCCTTACACACACACACACACACACACACACACACACACACACACACACACACATTTGAATTAGGATTCTCAGATCTTCCTTCATTTCCTTATCTGGCTGCTTACCTTTATACTTTATTTTTCTTGTTTACCTTCCTTCATTTACATAATCATTTAAGAAGAGTTAAATTCTTCAACCTTTGAATAATAACTGCTTTTAAAGATAAATAGTTACTTTACTTACTAAAGAACAGTTTCTCACGATTCAGAAAAAAATTCTATTGGAGGGGGTGGGAGGGTGGTTCGGTGGTAGAGCGCTTGCTTTGCATGCCTGTGGCCCTGGGTTCGATTCAGCATCACATAAGCAGGAAAAAAAAAAAGCCAGAAGTGGCGCTGTGGCTCAAGTGGTAGAGCGCTACCTTTGAGCTGAAGAGCTGAGGGACAGCGCCCAGGCCCAGAGTTCAGGCCCATGACCGGACTCCACCCCCCCCCCCAAAAAAGAAAAGGAAAATAAAAATTCTATTGGAGAATGTGTATTATGTGACTGATCTATTCTCGTTAACTTGGTTATAAAATAAACCATCTAATGGGAATAGAAACAGTTATTCGGTTATAATATCAAGAGAAACTAACATTCTGGCATAATCCATTTTGTTTAAGTTCTAAACTGTTAGCTTTGAGGTTACATGATATAATTTTATTGGTGTGGATAGAAAACTGGTACTAATACTGTAGCATCATCAGAATTAAAAAATGTTATATATTTTATACGTGTCAATAAAAGTTAAGTATTGAAAAAATGGCAGCGTATAAAGACATTATGCAAAGGCTTTAGTAGCTATGGATTGAGCAAGAGATAATTTACTTAAGAATACTACTGTGCAATTAAAAACACAAAGAAAATATTAAGCCTCTCTTGAAATATAGTGGAAAGAAAATAGCAAAGTATGAATTCTCAGATTGACACTAAAAGACACAGGGCTATTAAAACAATTCAACTATATATTAATTCTAAGTTCCCATTTAAATTTTATTATTCCCTAATATTAATCTCCCTCTTATAAATGTGGCTTGCTTAACTTAGGAAAAATATACATTGTACAAAGACTATAAAAACTTAATGAAATGTGACAACATTTACATTTCAGTAGCTCAATTAGTAGATGACGTTCCAAGCAAGTGTGTGACTCTTACTGAGTAAGTCTAAAATTACAGTGCAGGAGAAGGGAAGCCAGAAAGAATTGCAATTAAAGCCAATTTGAGGGTCTGGGAAAGTGGCTCAGTGGTAGAGCGCTTACCTTGCATGCCTGAAGCCTTGGGTTCGATTCCTCAGCACCATATAAGCAGAAAAAAAAAAAAAAAAAGCTGGAAGTGGTGCTGTGGCTCAAGTGGTAGAGCGTTAGCCTTGAGCTGAAGAGCTGAGGGACAGTGCCCAGGCCCAGAGTTCAGGCCCCACGACTGGACCAAATATAAAAAAATAAGCCAATTTGAAATTTTAATTAGTGCAGACACAGTTGGCTCATATCTAGATCTGAGCCAGCCTGCGCAGGAAAGTCTGTGAGACACTTATCTCCAATTAATCACCAAATGCCAGAAGTTCAGCTGTGGCTCAAGTAAAAGAGATTGAGCCTTGAGCAAGAAAAGCTATGGGCCACCTCCAAGGCTCTGAGTTCAAACTCCAAAAGTCTACACCAAAAAATAAAGTAATAAGCCAGGCGCCCTTGGCTCATGCCTATAATCCTAGCTTCTAAGGAGGCTGAGATCTGAGGATCGTCCTTCATAGCCAGCCCGGGCAGTTAAGTCCATGAGACTCTTATCTCCAATAAACCCCTAGAAAACCAGAAGTGGTGCTGTGGCTCAAGTGGTAAAGCGCTCACCTTGAGCTGAAAAGCACAAGGATAGCGCCCAAGCCCAGAGTTCAAGCCCCACAACCAATAAATAAATAAAGTAATAAAGTAATAAAATTAAATAAAGATTATAAACTACAAAATGGTACCAAACAGATAAATAGGTGAAACAGAAATTGAGAGTGCAAGTAGCTTAAATAGATCACCAATGTTTCCACAGTAGTATATAGAAAATCAGTAATTCTTAATTACCAATCCATTGATCCATTCACTAAAATATTAATCTGATGATAAAAAAAAAAAACACAGAAGAATTTGAGCAAGACCAAAATTGGAAGCATCTACTGCTTTAACTCTGTTAATCCATACAAAAGACCAAATTCTAAGGACAGAAAAATGGAAGAAGAAACAGAAAGGCAAGAGGGCAAGAAATCGTAAAAAAGAATAAGAAATAATGGCATGCATGAAGCCCTGGGTTCAGTTTCTCAGTACTACATAACCAGAGAGGAAAATAAAAAGCTGGAAGTGGTGCTATGGGTAAAGTGATAGAATTCCAACCTTGAGCAAAAAAAAGTAGCTCAGGAACAGTGTCTAAGCCCTGAGTTCAAAGTCCCAGGATTGGCAAAACAATAATAATAATACCAACAACAACAAAGGACATATTGCCATAGAATTTGGATATAAATCAGTTGTAATAGCAGAAAAGTTTAATATTTGGGAAGCAAGCTAACAGCTTAGGAGCTAGAAACTGGAGATGGCAAGTAGTAGTATTTCAAAATGAAAAACTGGATGTCCCTACTCAAACAGACAGTAGAGGAACCTACCAACTGCATGTAGTAAATCCCAGCACACAAACTGGACTTGCAAGGAAGATGCCTCTGCACAAGAGCATTGGATGTTTTAATTCCTTATTAAGAAAAGTTTGTTAAGATCATGGCAACTATTCTGTTCATTTTATACTTTCATATTTCTCTTGAGGCCTAAAACAAAGATGGGACCTATAGTAGGAAAAATCTTAGGTTCAGAAAAGTATGTAGGAGTTTATAAAGGGGAAATACCAAAAGGCCTTAGAAAGGAGCCCCAGAAAGTTAAAGAAAACTGAATTGTAAATAAAGAGTGATTAACAGAGAACTTGCCCTAAACAAAAGCTTTGATTTTAATGCTGTTCTCCAAGTGCACTTAGGATTTAAGTGGAAGGAAAACTGTTCTCAACTTTTTTATGTAAAGCTTTTTCTGATGGCAGAAATGTCTTTATTGTAGAGAAATACTCATGTTTCTCAAAGTATCCTAAAAAGTTCTTAAATAAATTTTAAATTGTCTAACTACTAGCCACATGCTGATGGGTCATACCTGTAATTCTAGCTACTCAAGAGACTAAAATCTGAGGATTGTGATTTGAAGCCAACCTGGGGCAGGAAAGTTGGTGAAACGCTTCACTAGCCACCATAAAATCAGAAGTGAAACTGTGGCTCAAAGTGTACACATTAGCTTTGAACAAAAAAGCTTAGGGATAGTACCTGTATCCTGAGATCAAGCCCCAAGACCAACAACAACAAAATAATAATAATGACTACTTTTGAACTGCCTGAAACAACTTAGATGTTCTATTGTCACTTTGTTGCACTTCTAAAGCATGATATTTAGCTAAGAGCTAGAACTTGTGAGTCGGTGAGTCAAGTCAGAGATAAAAGTAAAATCATGTCACCAGGAATTTCAAATGTAAAATTTTTAGATTATGTGATTAAAGCCTAGCACACATGATTCACATCTGTAATTCTAATTATTCAGGGGTTTGAGATCTGAGGGTTACTGTCGTAAGCCAGCCCAGGCAGAAAAGTCCATGAGACATGTGACATCCCCAATTAACTACCACCACCCTCCACAAAGCCAGAGTGGAGTTGTGGTACAACCCTACCTTTGAACTACAAAACTCTAGACAGTACCCAGGCTTCAGAATTATCACACACACATCAACAACAGAAACAAGAGAAACAAAGAAGCCAGGTCATATACTGGCTGTGAGTAACATTCTTGTAAAGAAAGGAATGAAAGAATAACTTGGGGAAATACTAAGCAATAGCTGATTCCTATTATTCAAAAGGGAAATCAGCTTGACACTGTCCCTGTGCTCTTCAGCTCAAGGCTGAGTGCTCTACTGCTTGAGCCACAGGCCACTTCTAGTTTTCTAGTGGTTTATTGGAGCTAACAGTCTCATGGAGTTTCTTGCCTGGGCTGGCTTTGCATCTCGATCCTCAGATCTCAGCCTCCTTAGTAGCTAGGATTATAGACATGAGCCACTGGTGCCCGACTCAAAAGGGAAATCTTATAAACAAACAAACAAACAGGGTTGGGAAGGTGGATCAGTGGTAGAGTGCTAGCCCTGCATACATGAAGTCCTAGGTTCAATTCCTCAATACCATATACACAGAAAAAGCCGGAATTGGTGCTGTAGCTAGAGTAGTCGAGTGCTTGCCTTGAGCAAAAGAAGCTGAAGGAGAGTACCCAGGCCCTGAATTCAAGCCCTAGTCCTGGCAAAACAAAAAAAGAGGGGGGGGGCGGGGCTAGGAAGGTGGTTCAGTGGTAGAGTGCTTGCCTTGCATGCATGAGACCCTGGCACCACATAAGCAAAAAAGAGAAAAAGCCGGAAGTGGCGCTGTGGCTCAAGCGGTAGAGCACTAGCCTTGAGCTGAAGAGCTGAGGGACAGAGTCCAGGGCTGGAGTTCAGGCCCAAGACTAGACCAAACAAAAAGAAAAAAGAAAAAGAAAGAAGGAAAGAAAAGAAGAAAGAAAGAAAGAAGGAAAGAAAGAAGGAAGGCAAGAAGGAAGGAAAGAAAGAAAGAAAGAAAGAAAGAAAGAAAGAAAGAAAGAAAGAAAGAAAGAAAGAAAGAAAGAAAGAAAGAAAGAAAGAAAGAAAGAAAGAAAGAAAAGAGAAAGAAAAAGCATGAGAATATTTGCATTGATCTTGCCTTCTAACCTTGGAAACCATGTGGCCTCAGGAGGCAAGGGGTGTAAGATGATCAGCAGGAACTTGGTCTTAGTGAGAAGTGAATGTGATATAACATTACTGTTTTCCAGCTTCAATTATATGAAGATCCTAAGACTGTTAAAAATGAGGATTCTGAGCTCCAAGTCTTTAGTTGATTTTTTTATTCAAAAACAAAAGGGGTGAGTCACTCAACTATAGTTACCAATATGTTTTTTTATTTTTTTTGGTCAATCATGGGACCTGAACTCTGGGCCTGAGCGCTATTCCTCAGCTCTTCAGCTCAAGGCTAGCGCTCTATCTATCATTTGAGCCACAGTGCCACGTACAGCTTTTTCTGCTTATGTGCTGCTGAGGAATCGAACCCAGGACCTCATACATACAAACCAAACACTTCCACTAAGCCACCTTTTCAGCCCAAGTTAACAAATTTTTAAAGGTTAAGATGTAATGCTTTGATGGTACAACATCTAATTTTTGTCTTGTAATATTTTGCTTAGTAATATTTGCAAAAAGACTAAACATAAAAGATCTTATCAAGATTAAAATTCCCTCCCAAATCTAAGAAACCAGTCATTAAGTGGGCAAGGCAACTAAAGAGACACTTCTCAAAAGAAGAGATAAACACGGCAAAGAAACACATGAGGAAATGTTCATAATCCTTGGCTATAAAGGAAATGCAAATAAAAATAACCCTGAGATACAACCTTTCCTGTCAGAATAGCCCACATCCTAAAGTCAACCAATGACAAATGCTGGAAGGGATGCAAAGAAAGAGGAACCATATTGCATTGCTGGTAGGAATGTACACTAATACAACCACTCTGGAAAGCAGACTGGAGGTATTTCAGAAAGTTAAATATAGCCTCCCTCATGATTCAGCCATACCACCCGTAGGCATCTACCCTAAGCAACAGGAACCAGAATACAAGGACACATGCACTTCCATGTTTATTGCAGCACTGTTCACAATAGCTAGCATATGGAAACAACTCAGATGCCCCACTACAGATGAATGAATCCAAAAACTGTAATACCTATATACAATAGAATATTATGGCAGCCATTATAAAGGACAAAATAATGCATTAGCAGTGAAATGGATGGAACTAGAACAAATCATGTTGTACCAGGTAGGCCAAGATCAGAGAGACAAATGGCACATGGTTTCCCTGATAGGTCCATGTTAAATTCAAAATTCAAGGAGATGGGGTTGGGAAGGTGGTTCAGTGGTAGAGTGCTTGCCTTCCACGCATCAAACCCTGGGTTTGATTCCTCAGCACCACATAAGCAGAAAAAGTCGGCACTGTGGCTCAAGTGGTAGAGCATGAGCCTTGAGCTGAAAAGCTGAGGGACAGTGCCCAGACTGCTAGTTCAGGCCCAACAACTGACAAAAGAAAAAGAAATGCAATAAGATATGAAAAAGTAAACAGGACTCAAGAAACAAAGGACCTCTGCTTAATTTGTCATATTATTTCTAAATGACTCCATGTTCTTGACCTCATATATGGTATATACATGTGCACATCTGAGGGAAGCTAGAAGGAGACATAGAATCAGAGGGAAAGAGGGGAAAATACAATAGAGGGGTCCATCAGCTGCACTGGACATTGATGAAAATTAAGCAAACCAAGGACAGCTATGAAAGAGAATTCAAGGGAATGGGGAACAGCTAACACAAAACAAAAGGAAAGAAATGTATGTATTACCAGAGATTTAGAAGAAATAATTATATTATCATTAATCACTAAAAAGCAAAAAATATACCTGTTGCTCAAGTAATGGAGCCATAGTCTTGAGCACCAATGGTCAGGGATGGTGCCAAGGCCAGTTGAAGCCCAAGAAACAGTACCAAAATAAAAAATAAAGGAAAGAAGAGGAGAAAAGAAAAAAAAATGAGAAAAAGACAAATGGAGAGGAAGAAAAAGGAAAGGGAAAGGAAAGAAGGAAGGAAAGAAGGAAGGAAGGCAGGAAGGAAGGAAGGAAGGAAGGAAAGGAGGGAAGGAGGGAGGGAGGAAAGGAGGGAGGCAAGAAGAGAGGAAGGAAGAAAGGAACGAAGGCAGGCAGGAAGGAAGGGAGGGAAGGAGAAAGGGAGGGAGAAAGGGAGTGAAGGAAGGAAGGAAGCAAGGAAGGAAGCAAGGAAGCAAGGAGGGAAAGAAGAAGGGAGTGAGGGAAGGAGCAAGGGATGGAGGGAAGAAAGGAAGGGAGGGAGCAAGGGAGGGAGGGAAGGAGGGAGGGAAGGAAGGAAGGAAGGAAGCAAGGAAGGAAGGAAGGAAGGAAGGAAGGAAGGAAGGAGGGAATGAGGGAGGTAGAGAGAAAATTATATTTGGTTTGATCAAATCAAAATGAACCGTTCTAGACTAGTTTAGTGAAGTAGGAAAAAGAAAAAGAAAAAGCAAGTAAGCATCACAAAGAACTAAATAAATATACACATAGAAACATATCAGAATTAGCCAGGCGCCCATGGATCAGACCTGTAATCCTAGCTACTCAGGCGGCTGAGATCTGAGGACTGCAGTTCATAGCCAGCCCAAGCAAGAAAGTCTGTGAGACTCTCCAATAAACCACCAGACAACTGGAAGTGGTGCTGTGGCTCAAGTGGTAGACTGCTCGCCTAGAGCTGAAGAGCTCAGGGACAGTGCCCACGCTCAGAGTTAAAGCCCCACGACTGACAAAGGAAAAATAAACAAACAAAAAATATCAGAATCAAATTGTTTATTTTAAAAATCAGTACTGACTTTTCAATGTTAATATGCAGATTATGAAAAAATGACTGAAAAAAATCCTACCCTACTGAAACTATTATCTATACATCTGTCTAGTTTCCAAGAAATAATCAATGACTCATGTTTCTAAGGTAAAATACAAATTAATTTTCTGTTCTACTGAGTAAATATACAAATATTTCTAAAGGAAATAAAATTTAGGCACAGAATTAAATATTGATTGCTGACTTTAAAACTCAGACTTTTCAATATCTAGTCTTACCTTCCAAGGTAATACCAAGATTGACCAGAACTAGGATCTTCTTCCAGTGACTTTTGGAGATACTGAATAGCATATCTTTCCTTAGTGGTTCTGTCTCCTACTAGATCCATATTATGATGCATCCAACCTATAATTTAAAAAAAATTGCAAGTATAGACCCATCATTAAATTTTTTTTGGTGTCAAGTATATCACAAAAGAATGAAATTAAAACAGATTTTCAATAATCTATTAATCAAACCAAATTTTCCAAATTGCCAAATATAATTATAGTAGGTCTATGTTATATCCCTTTCCTAAAGGACACAGAAATTAGTAAAGTTTTTTGTTTTTTTGTTTTTTTTAAGCAGAGAGCACATATTTAAGTGATATGGAGTACTATGTTGACATACAGTTTAAGTCATAAATTCTCTTTTCATAATTGTAATTTCTGAAAAATTTCCAAGATACATTTGGATGATACATTATCATTTCTTTAAACATTGCTACACACTGAAAACTTTAGACGTAATCTATTAGCCACAGTTATTTCCTAAAAATTATCAAAAATTTATAGAAGCAAATATAATTCATTTTATTAAACTTAAATTATGAGGTAATTATTGCTTTAGGTTGTAACAGCATTTGATTAATGAATGAAATAATAATAAAACTCATCTAAGTGAAAAACAAGTCCACAGATCTGTAAGAGGAAGCAGGGCACTGGTGGTTCATGCCTGTAATCCTAGCTACTAAGAAGGCTGAGATCTGAGGATCACAGTTCAAAGCTAGCCCAGTAGGAAAGGACTTGAGATTCTTATCTCCAATTAATCACCAGAAAGCTGGAAGTGGTGCTGTGGCTCAAGTAGTAGAGTCCTAGCCTTGAACTGAAGAGCTGAGGGACAGTACCCAGGCCCAGAGTTCAAGGCCCACAGCCAACAGCAACAAAAAAGATCTGTTAAGAGGAGTACAGTCTAAATCACAAGATTGGCTTAATAATTAGATTTACAGATATACAAAGAGAAGATTAGATTATGGGGTATTACTAAACAATGAAATACAAAGAAAAAAACTCATATGTAACATTAAATAATAATGTATTATTTAAGCAAAACTGTGTTTTGTTATGTTGGAAATTGTAAATAATATACAGACATTATTATAACCAGCTTGCCAAAAACTTTGGATGTATTTGCTCAAAACAAATACAAATACTGAAAGAAAACAAAAACAAAAAACTACAACCTAAATATTATGTATGGACAAGATATTATATAGCTTAACTAAATTAATTATTTGAAGGAACTTAAATCTTTTGATAATAAAATACTATTTGCTATTAAATTCAGTATTTAGCTCCTTCTTTTTCATTATAAAAACAAACAGCACTTCTTGAGAAAATAAGAAAAATTAATGTTTCCACTGATCATATTATCATTAAAGCACTTACTAAGTTATCTAAGTCACCCAGTTTTCATCTATTTTATAAAGAATTAAGCTTACTCCTAACAGTGTGAGGGTATATATAATATGGCAAATTTAAAACAACTTTCTGTGTTTAAGGATGCTGAATAAAGATAAAAATATACATATACCAACTCTAGACAAAATAAGAAAAAGAAACATAATTACAAAAAATAATAATACATGGCTAGGCGCCAGTGACTCACATCATAATCTTAGCTGCTCAGATCTGAGGATCAAGATTCAAAAGATAGCTCAAAAGACTTTAAATGACCAGAGCAATATTTAAAATGAATACTATGTAATTACATTTTTTTGTGTGTGTGTCAGTCATGGAGCTTGAACCCTCGGCCTGTGTGCTGTCCCTCAGCTCTTCAGCTCAAGGCTATTACTCTACCACTTGAGCCACAGCGACACTTCCAATTTTCTGGTGGTTTATTGGAAATAAGAGTTTCATGGACTTTCCTGCCTGGGCTGGCTTTGAACCATGATCCTCATCTCAGCCTCCTGAGTAGCTACAATTACAGCCACCAGTGACTGGCTGCATCTTAAAAAGAAGTAAGATTGCTGGGCATTGATAGTTCATGCCTGTAACCCTAGCAAAAGGAAAGTCACAAGATTCTTATTCCAATTAACCACTAGAATACTGGAACTGGTGCTGTGTCTGAAGGGGCTCAAAGTGTTGCTCAAAGGCAGACACTGGCCTTGAGTGAAACGAGCTCAGGGACAGAACCCATGCCCTGAGTTCAAGTCTACAAATGCCAAAAAAAAAAAAAAGACATCCAATTAAAATACGTATATGAAATATCAAACCAAACTCCTAAATGAAAATTAACTTTTCAGCTAAAGGGAAAATCTGGTCCCATATATAAATTAATACGTAACAAAAACTTTTGCATTTATGTACCTAACTGTTGTAATACAATTGCTTTTACTTGTACAGGAAGGTTTTCTGTCTGTAAAAGCTGTTCATAGGCTTCTTTTGCAGAATGATATTTCCTCTAGGAATAGAAGGAAAACAGGATATTTAGAGAAAAACAGAGTGACTATAAATCAATAGAAATATCTTTGACTTTTAACATTGCATAAATGGCCAAACTCAGTTCTAGTTTTCTATGGATCATAACACAACATTAAAACTATATAAATCATTCCTAATTATTTACAGGGCACTAAGTAATTCCAGACCTCCAAAGATACCAAAATCTGCATAATGTATTTGATATAACCTTTTAACTTCCTATAGTCTAAATCATCTCTAGAATATAATACAGCCTGAAAACCCAGAATCAATACAGAAACTTTGCAAAACTAAGAAAGTCATTTCAAAGTCTTTTAATGAATATAGCAATAGTTTAACATTATTTAAAGCATATCTTAAGAAAGAATGACTGGTGAGGACTGGTGATTCATGCCTATAAATGTAACTAATCAGAAGGTTAAGAGCTGAGGATCTCTGTTCAAAGCCAGCTTAGGCAAAATTAATCCATGAGACTCTTATTTCCAATTAAACATCAAAAAAGCTGGAAATGGAGCTCAAGTACTAGCTGAAAGTAATAAATCCTAGGACTGGCACGTGCATGTGCGTGCACATGTGAAATAGACTAGAGTGGTAGAAAACTTTGTTTTGATAGTCTATATTCTCTTTATTTTCAGTTTTTTGTTGTTGTTGTTTTCTTTTTTTGTCAGTCATGGGGCTTGAACTCTGTCCTGCAGCTCTTCAGCTAAAGGCAAGCACTCTACCACTTGAACTACAGCACACTTCCTTATTTTCATTCTTCAAATTATATTTAAGCAGTTGTAACAGGGTTTCAATTCAACATGTTATTTATCTAATTGTTTGAGGGTAGTCCTTACTTCAATAGTCCTTCTACAATACTCATTTTTCCACCAGCAATTTGAAAAGTTCTCCTTACTCTACTCAACAGAATTATCGTCCTTTATCTTTCTTAATGATAGTAGTAGCTGTTGTGGTTTTTATTCACATTTCCTTAATGATGATTTTTTTTTTCTGTTTTTACTCAGGGCTGCCATTCTTTCTCCTTTCCTTTCCTTTTTCCTTTCCTTTCCTTTCTCTTTCCTTTCTTTTCCTTTCTGTTGTGGGGCTTGACCTCTGGGCCAGGCCACCGTCACTGAGCTCAAGGCTAGCACTCTACCACTTCTTGTTTTATGGAGGTTTATTGGAACTAACAGTCTCATGGACTTCGCTGCGCAGGCTGGCTTTGAACTGCAATCCTCAGCTCTCAGCTTCCTGGGTAGCTAGGATTACAGGCAGGAGCCACGGGCCCCAGCTTTACTCAAGACTTTTTGTGCTGTGATTGAAGTGTTTGTGTACATATATTCTATGTATTGACCTGTCTAGATTTTCAAATTTAAAATCAGAGGGAGAATTAACAGAATGCAATTTCAAGCAAAACACTGCTGATCTATTACCATGTGGGGAAATGGTTATCATTGTATATACAGATTACAAGACATATATACATGCATGATTCATTTCAGTTAAACTTGAGCAGTTAAGAACAGTGGTTAATTTTGTTTGAGTGGGGAATCATAGCCTTGAGTGAAATTGCAATCCTGACACACAGGATGACAATGACAAGACAGGGCAATCAAGCAGACGATGGTAAAGAGCAGTGGCATAGATGTTTTTCATTTCCTGATTTAGTGAATCCAGTACCATTAGAATAGGCTGGTTATATTCTGTATGTTTTTCTTCCTGTATGTGTAACATGACTAGATGAAGATATAATAATGATAGCCACACACAGATGATTACAATGAAAATGCTGCATCAATAGTAACTTGAGTCTCCAAGAATTGCTATGGCAACTAAAGACTGAAGATGACACTGAACTATGTATGGTATTTCCAAATGGCCATCCGGCAATCCAGTAGCTGAGTCTTACAATTGGAAAACAAGGTACTGCAGTCTGCACTGGGAATGTCTTTTCAGAGACAAAGTGACTCAATAAGATTGCTACAGAACTCAGTGGGACTTTAACTCTTGGAAGCAAACTGCGGAACTTCAAAAACTCATGGCCACACTGCAATTGCTATTCTAAGACAAAGCTTCTATTTTTATTTCTAATACATACATCACACCATTCCAAAATCTGAACAGAGACAGTATTTATAATCAATAATCTTAATATACAATGATGAACATTTCTGAAATGTGTGTTACACACACACACACACGAACTGAAAAAAAGGGAGAAAGTCTCAAATTGTAAGACAAAATCTGTATGTAAATGAATAATGAAATTTTTATAATAAATTTTCTGATGAGTGCTTCAAAGTACTGAAGAATGACATGGAGGAAATGAGAGGCTACATCTAAATATACATTTAGTATAGCAATATAAATATTTTTAAAGTTTTCTGGATGCCAGTGGCTCATGTCTATAATCCTCAAAATCCTCAAGTAGTAGAGTGCTAGTTAGAGCAACAGAATGGGGGGTGCGGGGGGAGACAGTAAAAGAGGAAGTGAAGGGAAGCTCCAAGACAGCACTCAGACTCTGATTTCAAGCTCTAGGATCAACAAAAACAATAATATTAATTAAATAAAATATCTTTTCAGCTCTAGTACCAACAAAAACAATAATAATTAAATAAAACATCTTTCTCAAAAACCACTACCAACAAAAACAATAGTAGCGGGGCTGGGAAGGTGGCTCAGTGGTAGAGTGCTTGCCTTGCATGCCTGAGGCCCTGGGTTCGATTCCTCAGCACCACATAAGCAAAAAAAAAAAAAAAAAAAACAATAGTAGCCTGGGGGTATATGATTCAGGACATGAATGAATTCCTAACTAGTAACTACACAATTCTGAGTTTAAACTCTAGTACTGCCAAAATCAAAACAAAATTGGTTGCTTTTTTTAAAACTCAGCTTGGGCACTGTCCCTGATCATTTTGCACTCAAGGCTAGTGCTCTATCACATTAAAATTATGTATTATTGTATATTATATAATTATCTATAGTCATCTGTGTATATAAATGATATTATTCTATGTATAAATATACCAAAAAACAACTACTACACAAACAACTAATTTAAAATTTTCAGTAAACTTACACAGTACATGTCTAACAGAAGAATCAGGTTAGGAAACTTAGGGATATTTAAAACCTCTAGGATTATTGCTGAAGAAATTAAAACACTTAAATTCAAAAACAGTGCAAGTAGGGATGGAAGGGAAAACTAGGAGGTGGTGAAAGGAGGCTTTTTCCAAAAAGAATTATACTGTTTACCTATCTTATGTAACTATGACCCTTCTATATACCATCTTTATAATAATAATGTAAAATATCAAAGAAATAGAAAACCATTGTGTGTAGCTTGAAAGACTACACATTGTTTAGACGGTATTCCTACCCAAAGTAATCCATGGACTCAATGTGATCCCATTATTTTTGAAAAAGAAGTAATCCATTCTCAAAATCACACTGATTTCCTAGGGATGTAGCATACTCCAAATAACCCAAAATGAATAATTTTGTTATTTCACACCTTATTATATAATTATGACAATTGTTTTTTGTTTTGGGGGGGTTTTTTGGCCTGGTTGTGGAACTTGAACTCTGGGCCTAGGCACTGTCCCTCAGCTCTTCAGCTCAAGGCTAGCGCTCTACCACTTGAGCCACAGCACCACTTCTGGCTTTTTTCTTTTTGCTTATGTGGTGCTGAGGAATTGAACCCAGGGCATCATGCATGCAAGGCAAGCGCTCTACCACTGAGCCACCTTCCCAGCCCCAATTATGGCAATTGTTAACAACAGTGTTTGCAAAAAGAATCATATGCTGAAGCCAATATATTAAACAAAGTCCATAAATAAACCCTATATGATCTTTTGCTAACTTATGGTATTTTGTGAGAATAGTATTTTAATTGTTTAATATGCAAAGAAAACACTATTCAATAAATCATTCTAAATTAACTGAATATTCTCTCGCCTTTTCCTATAAATGCCAATAACTGAAATAAATTAGATATTCTTTGGGTTTGTCTACAGATACAGAATTAAAAGAAGAAACAGATATGGTGCTTAATGTCAAATCTTCAAATATAATCATTTATAACTTTTAATATACTTTCAGTTATTTCCAGTGTTTTATATGAACTAAGTGCTTCCAGAAGTAGTCAGGATTTCTTTTCATTATTCTCAGAGAAAACTTTCATAATTAAATGTAATATTAGCTAGAGATTTATTAAGCTAAAGAAGGTTCCATTTAGTTTTTGAGATTAACTTTTTGGTGACAATCCTGGGGATTGAACTCAGGGTATGGGTGTTGTCCTTGAGCATTTGTGCTTAAGCATAGCTCGCTACCAATGAAGCCACAGCTCCACTTCAGGCTTTTTGATAGTTAACTGGAAATAAGAGTCTCACAGGTTTGATCTTCAGACCTCAGCCTCCTGAGTAGCTAGGATCGTGGGTGTAAACCACCAGCACTTTCCTGGTTTTTGAGACTGACTTAAAAATAATAATAAATGCAACAGGTATTTATCTGGAGCACATAATTTTTTTATTATTCATGTTTATTACATGGATTACTATACAAATATTTTTACATATCTTGCATAACTAACCAACCATAATTATTAGTTTCAATACAGTAAATTAGTGTATCAGATTGTTAACTTTTTCTTTTTACTTTTTTGTCTATTCTCATGTCTTATCTTGTTTTAGCACTAAGGCAACACTATCTAAAGAGGTGTAAAAAGTTCTTTCTCTGCTCTTTTTTGTAAAAACTATAGCATTGGTGCGCTGAGAATGTGGCTTAGTGGTAGAATGTTTGCCTGGCATACATGTACCTTGGATTTGATTCTCTAGTACCACAACAGAAAAAGCCAAAAGTGGTGCTGTGGCTCAAGTGGCAGAGTTCTAGCCTTAAGCAAAACACACTCAGGGACAGCAAGGCCATAAGTTCAAGAGCCCTAGGACTGGTTTAAAAAAGAAGTAGTATCATTTACCTTAAAAAAAAAAAAAATCAACTAAA